TTTTCAAAACCTACTCAGAAAGTAGAAATTCATGCATTTGCGGATGCAAGTTCTGTAGCTTATGGGGCCGCTATCTATCTTTTAAGTGAACATAACGAGACTTGTTTAGTTATGGCTAAATCTAGAGTAGCACCAATAAATAGTCAACTTCTGACCTTGCCTAGACTTGAGTTGATGGGAACGCTCATCGCTACGAGATTGTCGAAATACGTGTCAGAAGCTCTCGAAACCAAATTCTGCGTTACCGCGCACACACTCTGGTCGGATAACCAGGCAGTTTTGCATTGGTTACATGGCAACGGAAAACAAGACATATTCACCAAAAACAGAGTTTCGGAAATTTTGGAATTTTCACAAAGTTTGAGATATGTCAACACCGCTGATAATCCCGCAGATTTAGTCACGAGGGGAGTCCAACCCGAAACATTATCGAATTCGGATTTTTGGTGGTCAGGTCCAAGTTGGTTGTCAAATCGTGATAAATGGCCTGGAAAAATCGAATTTGGTAAAATCATCGTGAATAATGACTCAGAGTCAGAAGTGAGAAAATCCAAAATTGAAAATAATATTTCGACCCCAAAAGTGTCCGAGAAATGTGCCCAGTGTCCGACCACTGGTACGAGTGACATCGTTAGCGATCGACCGCTACTTTGTACGCCCCCAAGTCAATCCAGAGGACATGTCAATTCGGAGAACGAAATTAGTCCTCATTTCCATAAATCAGCAGAAGATTTCATAAAAACTGCTGAAACAGTGTCAGGAGATATCATCGATACAAACCGCGAACCTCCTGAGCTACAAAACTCCAAAATTAATGATCAGATCGTTTCGTTACATGTCGCCTCTGAATCTGACAATTTACTCGGCCACCATTTTGAACTTCACAATGAGCCAAACATCGCACCGAAGGAGATTATTCACGCAACTGAATCAAACTCAGAACCTAGTCTTGAAAAAGATTATCGATATTCGCCGTTTCAACGATCTACATCGTCTGTTGAAAGCAACTGCTTATATATTTCGTTTCATTTCGAAACTCAAATCCAAATTGAACCACACTCCGAGTTATTTGTCAAGTAGACTTGCTCTCTCAACACAGGAGATATACGACGCGGAACACGCTTGGTTGACATCGATTCAGTCAACACATTTCGGAGACGTTGTCAGTTCTATTCGGAGACAACAATTTAGACATGGCGTACTTCAAAAACAACTTAAACTATTTCTTGACGATAAGTCAATACTGCGAATTGGTGGTCGGCTTCAGAATACCGACTTTCCTTTCGAAACCATGCATCCAATACTCCTTCCTGGTAAACATCGGTTTACTACGCTCATAATTCTTGATGCTCATCATTTATTAAACCACGGTGGGCCGTTAACCACAGTTAACAAAATTCGGGAAAAATATTGGATCACCGCGATTCGCAGACATGTGAATTCTACATTGAGATCTTGTGTCGTTTGTAAGAAGGTCGATGGAACTCCATTTCCCCTTCCTACTCAAGCTCCACTTCCTGATTTTCGAGTGAAGGAAGCAGTCCCATTCGAATTCTGCGGAACAGATTACACGGGACATTTGTTCGTTAGGGACCAACACACTGGTCTTTCTAGTAAAGTTTATGTACTAATTTTTACGTGCGCCTCAACTCGATGTATTCACTTAGAATTAACTCAAGATTTGACCGCCGCATCATTCATTTTGGCTATGCGACGTTTCACTGCTCGACGGTCAACGCCCCGGAAAATGATCTCAGATAACGGTTCCACATTTATAGCCGCCGCTAAGATTTTGAAAGGACTCGACTCGAGTCCAGTCCTGAGGTACAAAACTATCTTACCAAAAATCGTATATCGTGGCGTTTTAATCCTAAACGAATGGCGTGGGCCGGAGGCCTATTCGAGAGAATGATAGCCATAACAAAAAATTGCTTGAAGAAAATTCTAGGTCGTGCCAACGTGACTTTTACCGAACTATCCACAATTTTAGTCGAAGTCGAGTCGTCAATAAATGACCGCCCATTAACTCATCTCTCCGCAAGTGTCGACGATTTAGCTCCACTGACTCCATCTCACTTGTTAAATGGACGTCAGATTAGAATGTTACCCCCAGCTATTCCTAGTGTTTCTGAACCCAATTTTGAGATTGATAATATTACTGCAAATAAAAGAGCTATGTATTTATCCTCCCTTCACAATGCTTTTAGTAAGAGATGGCAAAGAGAATATTTGACGTCACTTACTGAGCGTCACTTGAATCAAATCAAAGGGACAACCAATAATTGTATAAAGGTGGGGGATATTGTCCAATTACACCAGGACATCAAAAAACGATGTCATTGGTTACTAGGTCGTGTAACTAAATTGCTTCCAGGCAAGGACGGTATCGTCCGAGTAGTAGAAATACAGACCAAAAACGGCTCAACACCATCTTTATCCACTCGAACTTAATGCAGAAACACCAGAGAATACACTCTCAATTCCCGAGGAAGTTATTGGTAGTCCGTCCGTTGAAAACGAATTTTCTAGTGAAATCCACGACTTTTCTAGTCGGCCCGAAGTAAGGGCTTCAGCGCTCAAAGCGAGCGAAAGTATACGGTGTTGTATAACTTTGTAGAATTTTGAACTTTGTATTGCACTGTAACTTTATTTCAAGTTTTCAATGAGAATCATTTTTTCCGTGCAGTAAAGCAAAATCTGCAATGTGTTCATGATATACTGTATTGTTTTTGATATACTGTGTTATTTGCTGTTTTAGCTAAGATTGAAACTCACAATTCATATCTGATGTTCAATGTGATTGACATGTGTTTATTGTTGAGAGTCTGTCATTTAAATTTCAGAGATTTATTCACAAGTTAATTTTAAAATTTATCATGTTTGAT